GGTATCACCGCACGCCCCCAAATGTTACACATGTATCTGACATTTTGTTGTCGTCCAAAATGTGTCATCGGACGAATTTGTAAATTGGAAATGTATGTTTTTTTTTTAAATAAAACACTTTAACGGTTTAAAACGCGATACATTAGTTAAACTTATTTGAAAATGATTTTTAACTTTGGCCCGACGTTTTGCTGCTGCTGCAAAGCATCCGTGGCCAAGTTTAACTAATATATATCGCGTTTTAAACCGTTAAAGTGTTTTATTTAAATTAAATTAAAGACAGTATGTATGTATTTGTTAAATTCTCATCTGTCATTTGCTAGACTTTAAAGTACATAGAAAGGAAATCATTAAAAAAAAACACTATTATCGGTTAAAAACTAGAAATATATTGACTATCTATGAAATATTTAAGTTTTCAAATAAAACACTAATCAATTTGATGGTTTTAGAAAACAGGGTTTGTTTGTTTAAATGTGCCAATCTCAGGAACTGTTACGAAAAAAATATTTTCTATTGATTTAAAAATTTCTCGAGGAAGGCTATACGTAGAGATGTGTAAAAGCAGGGAAAACTATTTAGATCGCTGAGGGCTTCCGTTGCGTACGGAGAAACCAAAAAATAAATTTAAAAAAAGGCTACGTGTGTCTATCTATTAAGATTTACTTGCAACAACGACGTTTTTCGACGACGAATTTTGATGTCCAAAAACTATTCCACGCGGACGAAGTCGCGATCAGAGCAAGTTATGTTATATATATATATATATATACTTTGTATAACATTCCTAAGAGTAGTCGCAACATAGTTGGCAGTGCTTTAGTGTTCGCGAAGTGTTTGTTGTTAAACAGAATTAGAACATACGTACCCACTTCACTGCCAATATGCCAATTTAATTTTATTTACGTCCTGAGTCCTGCTACACATCGGGCGGACATATTTCAGAGTCTGTTTTACTGGGAGATTTACCACCAATTTTTAGAACTGTGACCTACCCCTATTCTATGTCGTTCCTTCGAAAGAATAGAAAATTGTCGTTATTTTGTTTAACCATCCGGGTAACGGGCCGTTATAGATGATATTAATAAGTCATTCCCATTATAATAAAACACTTTAACGGTTTAAAACGCGATATATATGAGTTAAACTTATTTGAATGTAATTTTATATCTAAAATAGATTTTTAATTTACATGTGTGAGTGTGAAATCTCGTTCCCCCGGGGCATAGGGCGAACACATTTCTATGTCCGTTTCACTGATCCGTTCCACTTGTGTGCCCTACCTCACCGGAACATTTTTTTTTTGTTCCCCTGGGATTCGAAACCATGACCTTTTACGCGTAACGCAAAGCTAGACAATATGTTTAACCATTTGGCTACAGACGCGGTTTAATTTAAATATTAGTATTATTATTTTACGTATATGTAAGTAAGTGTAGTTTAGGTGTGAAAACATGTTCCTACGGTTCTGCCCCACCGAAATAATATATTGTTTCTACGAAATTCGAACGCATAATCTATCGCGTTTCACACTTAACGCAAGGCAAGACGTTTCACCATTTAGCTACATAGGCGGTTAGTCCCCGATTCCCAGCAGCGGGAGCTAATTAAATTTTCTGATTTAAAATTTAGCCTGTCCGCACAAATTTCAAAGTCTTTGGCGGTCCGTAGTTAAAATAACTTTCAAACAAGTTTATCTAATATGTATCGCGTTTTAAACCGTTAAAGTTTTATTTAAATACACCATCTATTTATAGAGGTATGTACATAAGCGTCAATCGCGCACGTTAATTAAAAAAATAGAAAAATGTCGTCAATCACGGTGCCACAGAGTCGTAGAGATCGTTTTTAGCGAATTTCGAAAGCAATTTAAAGTTTGAAAATGGAAGCCGTGTAAAAGAAAACGCGCGAGCTAAATGGCGCGAGGTTTGCTTCGAGTCAAAAGAGGTTTTTTGTCTGTGGTCTAAAAGGTGGCGGATTATGGCGGGAAATTTTCCACTTGTTAAACTAAATATATTGGTATGTTTTTTAATAAATAATAATTCTAGTATTCATACAATTAAAGTATACATTTTGTCTTATACGTTTATCTATTTTATTGTATGTAACTTATTAAGATTGATAAAAACCGGTAAAGAAATCGCCTAGCAGTTTTTTCATAGCGTTTTAAGTTTTATGACGTTAATCTTTAAATTATAATATTTATTAACCATATATTAAATTAAAATTGTGCAAATTGTGAAAATTCTTCAAGATTTATATTTTTTATTTAAAGGATTTTATTACCATGTACAAAACACTGCTTCTATATATAATGCACTAGCTATGCCAGCGACTTCGTCTGCGTAAAATACTACTTATGGGCATCAAAATGTTTAGACGAAGAAACAAACTCTTCAGCTTTGTCCAGTGGTCCAGCTGGACAGAACTATGATCATCCTGAAAAATTAGCGAATCAGACATAAATATGTGTCCGCGCTATGCCCCAAGTAAGCTATAAATTTGTAGTACTAATATAGTTTACTAAACTTCACTTTTAAATAAAACACTTTAACGGTTTAAAACGCGATATATTAGTTAAACTTATTTGAAAATGATTTTTAACTTCGGCCCGACGTTTCGGATGCTTTGCAGCAGCCGTGGTCACGGGGAGACCGTCTCCCGCATCAAGCATCCGAAACGTCGGGCCGAAGTTAAAAATCATTTTCAAATAAGTTTAACTAATATATCGCGTTTTAAACCGTTAAAGTGTTTTATTTAAATGTGTACCACTCGCGTAAACTATAGACAGTATTTAAACTTCACTTGTTTCAAATAATACGTTATAGTTAAAACTGTAGCTTGTACCATACAACACTAACTTTGAGTGACACGTTCGTGTCTGGCTAGTTTCAAAGCTGAAAATATAGCTTTAAATACTTCAAAACGAGCGATAAAGATCGTGTTGTAAACTTTGGTAAAGTATCTTTTAATATCAATTTGACAACGATAAGTGTGAAAGGTGTGTTACTCAACGTTTAGTGTGTAGCTAATTTATAAAAAAGTACTTAAGAATGGCCCCGGGGCCAAATAGAGAGAATCGATGACAAATGATGTCATTGAAGTAAAAACTGCCTTCGTGGGAATAAAAATGGTATTGATAATAGAAAATTACTTCCGGCAAGAGACGCATGAGTTGAGTTGCGGCTTAGGTTCAAATAATACGCAGAATATTAATTTATTATTGTGAAACTGAAGACGAAGTTGACGAACAACTAATAACAATAGTTTGTTTGTGTCAAAGTTTTTTTTTCACTAAGTGTCTTCCTACGTTCCAGCCAGTTCGAAATTTAAGAAAAGAACTAAACTTTAAATACCGTCTGTAGTTTACGCGAGTAGTACACATTTAAATAAAACTTTAACGGATTAAAACGCGATATATTTTAGTTAAACTTATTTGAAAATTCTTTTTATTTTTAACTACGGCCCGACGTTTCGGATGCTTTGCAGCAGCCGTGGTCACGGGGAGACTAAAGATGGAGGTTGTCTCTGACGTCAAAGTTAAAAACTGCTGCGAGCGCCATCTGCGCCGTCGAATTTGGTATTTGGCGAAACTGGCCGCGTCCTTGCAGAATTGACTAACGGTGTCTTCTCTTTTGCCGGTATGCTGTTTATTGGAATCCAGAGCTTTTATTATGTGATCCCAGGTGTTCGATAATAATTTGAGGCCGCCCTCCCTATTGAAATTTCTGTGTTTTTTTTTAATTTTAATTGCTTCGCGTACTAATCTTGGAAAAAATCGACGCTCCTTCGCGAAGATTTTTGGCTGGTCAAAGCTACAATACATTCCTTTCTGCAGTATCACAAAGGCCGTTCGAAAAAAAATACTTAGTCCCTCAGACTAGACAGCAATACATATTCTTATATATTGACTCAACTTGAACTTTCAAAATACGTCGAGGCATACCCGTTAGTTTGATAGTTCAGTAGAATTTGCTCAGGCGTTTGAGAACAATTTCATATTTCGTCACAGTTCACAAGTTATGTCACGTAAGGAACACAACAAACCAGAGATTATTGCAAAAGAAAGTAGATTTTTTTGGATTGACGTGCGATGCAATTAATTATATGGAACAAAAATTTCAATCTACAAGGCTCCCCCAATTTCGACATAGGACATACGACGCGTATAATGGGCCTATATGACTTTAAACCGACATCTTAAACTGAACCTTCTTGGAAAGCAGATGTTCAACAATTAATGGTTATTATTATTATATTATATTATTTTACTAAACTTCACTCTTTTCCTTCTATACTCTGGCCAATCTGAAAACCAGCGCTGCTGAGTGTGACAAGCATTCAGCAGCATAGCTGAGACTGGTACCGATTGCCATCTCTTATATGTTTATTACTTATAATATATATAATATATATATATATATATATATATATAATTTTAAGTAAAAAGAGATATTCATAACAAAAGGATATTCTATGATCTGGAGTGACTCGTAAAATTTCAGTTATAATTTCATATGGTTTATCCATTAAATTATAAATAAATAGTTTTAAACATAAGATATTAAACTAAGGATTTTAAATAAGGATATTTAACACAAGTATTTAATTTAGTTAATAGTTAGTTATAAGTCAAGTGTAATTTAATCTTATTCATGTTAGTTTTTAAGTGCAATTCGAATTGGGCTTCCACTTAATAAATGTAATTTTATGATTAAATAAATAAATAAATAAATAAATAAATATATATATATGCACGCAATTTAGTTATAAGTTATATGTTTGTAAATATCTTAAAATGGCAATAAAAGTTTTGAATTTGAATTTGAACAAACGTCTGTGTCGGTTACACTGATCAATTTTATTTGAAAGTTTAAACACTGTTTCCCCGCAATTCGAACCTAGAACCTCTCACGCTTGATTATTACAACGACTTTTAGGTACTAAAGCGTTTAGTCCCAGATTCCCAGATGTGCGAAGTAATGGCCAATAAAACTTACCGTTTTAAAACCTCTATACATGACCCTGATTTCTTGTTTTGAAAACTTCGTCTGTCTGCACAACTCCTCTAAGGCCACGGGTATTGGCTTCGGTGCTCGGTTTGGCTCCAATTCGTACGCGTGCTCCTCAACGGGCGATTCCGGGGGGCGTCGCCATTGTAGACGTGCAATTGTCTCTCACTGTTTTGATCTATAGAACATTGTTGATCTGTGACACACCTATGTTTATACTCTGTGATGGATTTTGGCGCGAAATTGGGCACGCGATCTGGAACAAATTAAAATCACATTTATATACTTTTCGACGGGCATCAAGCTCTAATGATAGCAGATAATCAAGGGGTAGCGGGTTGAATATTACTAGTATATTATCTTGAAATATGAATTGCACCATATGTTCATATAACACCTTTTAGCCCCTAAACCCTTTTTTTTTTTTCCCCCCTTATATTGATTCGATTTTTTTATTAGTATACGTGAGTTTTTATATTTATAAACTATTGATCTTTTATTGGGTCTAACATAAGAAAATGTACTAATCTATTATATATATCTATTTACTAAGTCTTCAAAATCTGGAGAAATTGTTTCGCTCACAAAAATTAGAAGCTAAATAATTTGAATTAAAAACACATCTATTTATATTGAAGTTTTTTTTCCCTTTTTCCAACCTTTTGTTTTAGTTGAAGTTGTTAGACCACTTATCGAGGAAGGCTTTAGGCTATCTATAGATTGCGCTGCGACCAATGGGAGCGAGGAGACAGGGGGGGTTGTGGAAATAACGAAAAAAATTTTTTTTTTTTTGGGTTTTCCTTCGCGCGCCCCCCCCCCCCTTTTTAAATATTTTTTTTTTTTAAAGTTGTCTGAACGCGCTAATATCAAGATATACTGGTTCGAATTTAATTTTTTTTTGTGTTGGTCATTTAGGTCAATGAGCTATAAAATCTGATATGAGAGAGGAGAAACAGAAAGAAATATGGAAAAAACAGGGGATAATATTAATCCTTGAGGGATTCCGACGAGCGCTGCATAAATCATTCAAGATACCGAAACAAAATTCTTTAAATAAATTAAAACTGTCCGCGACAGTATGTGTATATGTGAATAAATAATAAATAAAACGACAAAAAACCGTTGAGCGAATTTTAATAAACTATTAATGTCACCAGTGTTAAATGAAGAAGTGAAATGAATAAGGTTTCACTCGAAACATGGCGATCTGCCAAAATGGGAAACCAATTGAACAATCTCGAGTATCGTTGATAACAAACGCTATATATCAATCCTAACAATATCGTAGATAATATTTGTATGTGTTAACTTCGAACCGTAGTTCAAATAATGTGTAAATAAGTTTAACTAATACCGTTTTAAACCGTTAAAGTGTTTTATTTTCATGTGTAGGTACTACTCGCGTAAAAAAAGTCAATAATGTATGTTTGTTGGAGAAAATATACTACGGGGCTTCTAAAGTTGTTCAGATTTTGTAATCGAGAAAAGGTACTCGGCTAATATTAGTATCCTTTAGTACTTTGTTTTTTGTGTACTTTTCAGCAAAACTACTAGGTCTTACTGGAGGATTAAGCGTGGATGTGGAAAATTATATATTTTATTAAATGAATTATCATCAATAAGACCTTTTTTAATTTATTATGTATAAGCTAAAGAAATTATATATCTTAAAAAACGATTTAGATTGGACGAAAATACGACACGGCTGGGATCCGAACCGGCATCTACAGTCTTCCGTGCTGCTGCTCTGACCTGCACAGTGTATGTTCAGTTCAAGGTTCAAGTCCCGCCCGCGTCGTATTTTGTTACAATCTAAAATCGATTTTAATTCATACACTGCCATCATGTGCAATAATATGTGAAAAATATTACAGTGTACTTGCTAGAGGGAATTGAGTTTTGCAAACAGTATCTAGATTCGATTATCGTACGAACAACGAGCAAGCCCTACTTTCACAATAAAACGTATTCTTGGCTCTCTACTGTAAATACACTTGCTAATGTTATTTTTATAGCGATTTCAATGTAAATCCGTTGGGTTTTGAACGCCGTTACAAGTAATATATTGACTTGATGAGTTTTCTATTGAGGCTTTTCATTTTATAACGGCACTAGCTGACCCGGATAATTTTTTGCCACATAAATGACCTAGCTGTGTCCGTGACTTCCTCCGCGTCGAATATTTATTTTAGCATCAAAATTTGTCTTTGAAAATCTCATCCCCATATCTTTACTATAATAATTTTAAGAGATTAAAATGTATACAGTATAGATATGTAAAAGTGTATCATGTAATAATAGTTACTTCTTCTTCTATTGAAAAAATTGGCCAGCTAAAATCCGCCGAAGATGTTTTTTTTTTTTTTATAAACATATTCTAACATTACAAAACAATATCCATTGCGATAGAATTATTAAGTACATATTTCATGGAGTGATGTTTTTGTCAATTCACCCAAGCTACACGTAAAAATGTCGATCCCCTTCTGCAGCTCGACAACACGCAAAGCACGAACAAGAGGGGATTTAATCAGCAAGTTGGTGCGTGAGTACGGTACCGCCGCAACGGTGGTCGTAATCGCCTCCACACGTATCGGTCCGGAACTGACAAGTGTAAGGACTGCAGAACTCCTGAGTTCAACTCTCGACCCCGCAATATTTTTACCAGTTACCAGATATATCACAAGGAATAAGTCCCTCCGTACCTTCAATTCATTGTACCCGACCATGCCTAATATAAAAAGAGTCGGATACTTTAATATATAAAAGATTTTTGACTTTATGCCTTGACTTTGACTTTGTATCCGATGTGTGTTGGTTTACAATTGCTTTACAGGCTAGTTAGTGGTTGCTGCTTTTCCCAATCTATTTAAATAAAACACGTATGTAGCTTTTTTGATTTATTAATACCGATCTTAGTAATTGTTGTTTTTTTCAGTAAAGTGATTGTATTCCCAGTAAATTAATTTTTTGTTCTTTTTTGTGCTACCCCCTTTCCTCCCACCTTTTTGTGGTGCAGTTTAAAAACTAATTTGTGCCCAAAATAGCTATTCTACGCGAAGAAGTCGCTGAACAGTGCTTTAAATAAAACACAAAATGTATTTGTAGTATTCACAATTATTATAGTATACCTACGACCACTCATTTCCACCGTCCTCTCCCGTGCTTGTCAACGGGTGCGGCAGGCTCGGGGGTAAACAGACAATATTGTGAAATGTTATATTTAAATTAAGATTTAAGAATCAGCTACTATCCAAGTAGTTTCAAACACGTTTGCCAATTATGTTTGTAAGCTGAGAAAAAAGGGCTGTTAGCAGGTTATGCTACAAAACTGATTTTCAGCAAAACCGTACTGTTCGTCTGTTAGACAGGGCCCATACAAGCATTTGAGAATTTAAAAAGAAAAAGGACTTCTAAAAAAAAAATTTTTTTGGGTTTTAAAACGGTTTTTTTTCCGCCGGCACGCCGGGGCGGGGGATTTAAATTTTTTTTTTAAATTTTTTTTTAATTTTTTTTGTTTTTTTCCTTTTTTTTTTTTTTTTTTTTTTTTTTTTTTTCTTGTTTTTTAGTTTAAAGAACGTCTGTCGGATCATATAGTACATTTAAAAAAAGGTACACTTGAGACATACATAAAATACATACGTAGTGTTGTCTGTAATTAATTAGACTTTACACGATACAGCCGACGTAAAAGATATATATCGTATATGTTACTGAAATATTATGACCTCGCGTGACTGAAGCTTTGGCTGCTACTTGGCTATCAGAAATCTTGGGTTACCATTATCTATACATCGTGTTATAAAGCAATTGTTTGTCTGTACATTTTATAGAAATGTGTAACTACGTACATAAAACATTGCGATTCGCCAGTAGTAGTAGAAAAGCATAGTTTTGTAACGAAAATAATACAATTTTAACCGTTTAAAACGCGAAAATATTTTTACGTTTAAATTCAGCCATGGCCAAAATGAATCTATACTATTATATGAAGCTGAAGAGTTTGTTTGAACGGGCTACACCTGGAAACTACTGGTTCTAAATGAATGGTTTTTGTGTTAAGTAGGACATTTATCGAGGTAGGCGTTAGGCTATTAAAAACGCGCTGTGACTAATAGGAGCGGAAAAAAATTGGGAAAGGTGGAAAAAAGTAGAATTTTTTTTCCACCTTTGTAGATTTCCGATATTCGCTGTGAAACCGGTTAAGATACACGAAAAATATTTATGAAATAAAAAACACTAAAAAGGTCTAAAAAAAATCTATATGTTTTGATTAACTGACAAAGTTTTTGTAATTGTTTGGTGAAATTCATGCATATTTTTACCGATTATTGAAAATCGAAAATAAATTGAAACATTTTCGACTCGGCAGGACTGAACCGCATCGTCAGGTTCCGTGCTGTTGCTCTACCAATTGAGCCACCGAGTCCGACCGAGTACCGAGTGGTAGAGCACGGAACGCTGACGTTGCCGGTTCAAGTCCTGCCCGAGTCGAAAAATGTTTCAATTTATTTTCGATTTCAAAAAATAATAAAGTTTTTTATCGATTATTTGTTAGATTCTTATCATCGTTGTTATATTATTCTTGAAAGCAACAAAACAACGTTTACCGGATCAGCTAGATTGAATAACTCAATTGGAGCAACACAACCCGTTCGAGTCCTGCCCGTGTCATCGCTTTTTTATACAAAAATGTTTCCAAAATAAAAAGTAGGAGGGACGGCATCAAATTATCAAACACCTGCGATCGCAAAATAAAAACTCTGGATTCCAATAAACAGCATACCGACAAACGCGAAGACACCTTTAGTCAATTCTGTAAGGACCCGGCCAGCTTCGTAAAATACCAACTTCGACGGAACAGATAGCGCTAGCGTAGCAGTTTGTTACTTTGACGTAAGGGACATCCGCCATCTTTAGTCTCCCCGTGACCACGGCTGCTGCAAAGCATCCGAAACGTCCAGCCGTAGTTAAAAATAGTTTTCAAACAAGTTTAACTCAAATATATC